ATTCCATGTTCTCTTCCCTAAGTTCTGAAGATTCTGAAGACAAGGTTTTGTTGAACAAGTTCTGAAGACTTTGAAGACCAATGATTCTCTAGACCAATTTCTGAAGACTCTAAAGACAAGATTTTGTTGAACTAAGTTCTGACGACTCTGAAGAAAATGTTTGGAATAATTTGAAGACCAAGTGTTGAAAACTCTTAAGACAAGGTTCAGGTTGAACAAGTTCTGAAGACTCTGGTGACATAGTTCTGGAGACTTAGCTTTGATCCTTCTACGCATGCTTTAACCATTATACATCCAGAAGCCTCCGTAGATTAGAAGTGGAGATCAAAAGGGTTCACATGAGTAAGAGTACAAGGTACAACATCACCTCGCCTCCACTATGCTGCTTTTTTGGCTCAATGACAGTACTATTGTACAAGGTTGACTACCACTCTCACTGATCGTTGCAAGAAGACAACTAAAATTTTGGTATTCCTATTCTACCCTCTAACATTTTTCTTTTCAACTATAAAAGTAAGACTTGGAAGAATTGGAAATTTTGAAAAAAATTGAAGAAACTCACACTTATTCAAGTTGCTGAAATGTTGCCGAAATAACTCTGTAATTTTGTAAAGCAAGGAGTTGTTGCTCACTAACTTGCTAGCAATGGACTTTTGTTCGTTAACTTGCTTAACACTTTTGTGTTATTATTTGTACTTCAATATTGTGTAATCTTATTTTTGAGAAGCAAATTTGTAAACACAAAAACCTGTATTCAACAGTGAGATTATTATTCCTTGAGTGGCTAAGTGTTAGCATGTATACTCAAGAAGTCATTGACAGTTTGTCTTTGAGGTTTGTTCGTTGAGAGACTAGGGGTCTAGTAAGAATTCTCAAGAAGACATTGATAGTTGGTCTTTGTGGTTTGCAATAGTGACGGTTAGTCTTGTGGTTCTGTAATCAATTTGGTTATAGTGGATTAAGTCCTTATTGAGAAGGAGAAATCACCTTGGCGTGTGGACTGGATTAACTTCGTTAATAGTGAACCACGATAAAAATAATTGTGTTCATTTGTTTTTATTCTTCTGTTAAGAGTTGGTGTTTGAGTTTCGAGAAATTTTATTTTGGGAAACCCAATTCAACCCCCTCCCCCCTCTTCTCGTGTTTCTTGTACCTTCAATTTCCTCTTGGGGATTGATTCTTGTAGAAGTAGGTTAAAGAGACTTTAACAACACCCGTGACTTTAGGAGGGGAATGATTGTTGTAGTCGGACATGCAAATTGTCTCCGACAGCACCCTTAACTTTAGGTATGGAAGTGATTGTGGTAGTCAGACATGCAAAAGTCTCTGACACACCCCTAAATTTAGGCGGGGAAGTGATTTCTATAGTCGAAAGTGCAAAGCGTCTTCGACAGTACCCTTACTTTTCTTTGTGTGTGCTTTTTGTTTGGGGATTTAATTGTTGTATTCAGGTGTGCAAAGTGTCTCCTACATTACCCCTGAACCTATTTGTACAGCGCCTCGATCCCGTCAAATGTACCCCAAACTCGCTGTTACTATAGAAAATCACAAATAAACAAACGTTTAGAAAGAATCATATTTCATTTATAATTGTAGGGCGCCCTTACGCATAAGGAAAATGATTATAGAGTTACAACATTTTATATAAATGGAAAAGAAAACATAACAAGGAGGGCTAGCCTCCACTTATTTCCCTATTCACCTTAATGGGTCTAGCCACTTCTTAGAGGACAAATGCCCATCATGTTGAGCTGGCTGGTGAGAGATGCCATGTTAATCTCCATGGCTACACCTTCCCCATGGTCCTTATAGAGTGCTTGATAGATTCTCTTCTCCTCTTCAAGGTCAGCATTGATAGTGACTGAATCTCCTTGAAGATTGTGGTATTTGAGTTTGAGATGCACCAGTGATGCGACAACAAACAACATAGCGAAAAAAGCCTTCCTAGGATGAAATTGTAGACGCTCCTGCAAGGGCGACGAGGAATTGTGAGTTGATTACCTAAACACCTTTTCTATCACCTACAAATATCACCATCTCAATGTATCCCCATGGAAGGGTGATAGTTCCTTTATATGCTTGAAAGTTAGATCCCTCATATGGCAATAAGATTCCTCTCTCGAAATTCATATTTTAAATCAATTTTTAATACATTATATCATAGAAGCTGTCCCTATCAATCAGAATTCAAGAGACATCAAACTGCCTGATAGTAGCCATGGTCACCATGGGGAAAATTTTGTTGAGGACCCCTCCTATCTTCTTTGAGTCTCAAAATCCTAACATAAGCCACCCAAGGATCTTTTCCTATGTACCTCCTTCTTTTTTGTGGACGACTAACATCTCAAAGGTTTTCCTCTTCATTGTCCCCTTAGAGGGGGTTTTTCCCGAGGTGACCCTCCAATGATGGAGACGATGTATGTGTGATTTCCTTTGTTGGCGTCCTTTCTCTCTCCACTGGTCCCGAGATCTGTAGTCTTCATGGTAGATTTACCTTTAGGGGATTTTTCCCTTTCTCTTTTCCCCCCTTTCAAGTACTCAATCAGTCGATCCCTCTTAATCAATCCTTCAATGGTATCCTTAAGCTGGACACAATCATTGATGTTATGGTCGTGAACTTTTTGAAAACGACAATACTTTGACTTGTCGGTGCGATGTGTTTCTCTAACAGGGTAAAGGGGTCAGACTCCTCCCTTCATGAATTATGTGTTAACATTGTCCTTGTATATCTTCTCCCCAGAAACTATCAGAGAAGTTTACTTTTCGTACCATCTTTGCATACCTTGATTAAAGTCGTCCTTCCGCCAGTGAGACTTTTTCCCTGCCAAGCAGCTGGAGTTGGTGTCAGAGGAGATAGGATTGTCGAAGTGTGTGATCGGTTTCTCTTCTAGTATCATGTAAGACTCAATTATGATAAACATCTCTTAAGTGGTCTTCACTTTCTTCCTCCTTATCTTCAACATGAAGGGATGGTCTTTCAGAAGGCCATTTTCAAAGATCCAATACTTAAGGCCTTCTTCAGCTCCCTCGACTTCAATAACAACATTCATGAATCAGTCGGTGTAAGACTGCATGATTTCTTTCTTTTCTTGGATAATTTCGCTCAATGCGGATTCATTCGTTGGTTAAATTTCTCGAGAAATGAACTGTGTAGAAAATCGCTCATAGAAATTAGTCTATGACTTAATGCTCTAATCGAACAGACCATTAAACCATAGTCTAGTCGATCCGACCAAGGTTAGGGAAAATAGATTGAATTTAGACGCTTCGTCAATGCTGAAGTAGTTCAGTCGTTCATTGACGAGCTACACATGCTCATTTGGATCTCCTTTTCCATCGTATTCACTTAACTTGGGAAAATTCTCCATGGATTTTGGTATTTTTCTTTCCAAAATCTAGGCACACAGAGGATGCTTCAGTTGAACTTTCATTTGTTGGTCTTCGAATCAATCAGGGGGAGGAATGTGACTGCCCCGATCTCCCTCCGGAATTTGATGGTTCCTACTCCGATGTTGATTTCTTGACTTAGGAGCATCGTCTTTCTTTGTCATGGTCTGCTTAGGGGAAACAATATAAGTTCTCATTAACATTTCCTCTTGAACGACATTTCCTCATGGAGGAGCATTGTGTAGGATTTCTTCTAGGTGTTGTAACCTTTCCTCGATCACATTTGAATTATGTTGTTGAACAATGTTATAAATATTTGTTCAGCAGCTTGTTCACACCTTGCAATCTAAGGTTTTCTTGCAATAGATGGAGTGTCGGGTAAGGCTTCAGGCTACAAGACGGAGGTCCAATCAAAGGCGTATAAAAAAATATGGCTATTTGTAGAGCTTGGACCATACCTGGATGCACCATAACTTATATTCTAGGATTTGCGACACTTGATGATGAGGTGATACATAGGCGGTTGATTAATCACTTCTGTAGATGCGGCAGCGGGGACAACTTATCAAGCAGCAGTAGAACAAGTAGCTTTAAATTCAGCCATCACTCTAAACCGTAAGAACTATAGATTTGGAAAATTGAGCATAAGTTTTGTAAGCTATTTATTTGAGTGAACTTATGAAAACAACTCGTGACATGGTTCATAAGATTTTTTCAACTTATTTTTATAAGCTCTCTAAAATATCTAAAATTATTCATATTTATTTAAATAGATCGGCCTGATAAACTTAAAAAGCTTTTTCCATGGCATGTGGTATAGACTTTTTTAATTAAATAGACTTATAAAAAAGTCTAGATTTTTTCTATTTAAAAAAAAAAATTTGTTATGTCCTGAACTTACGTAGACTAGACCTTAAATCCATATTAGTTGGTATGACCTATTCGCATCCCTATTAATAATTAGGGTCGTCTTTAAAAATGTGCAAGACAGCCTATCACATAAAATCTCATATTTTTTCATAATTAATTTATAAAAAGAAAATATTCATATATATTTCACAATTAATTTACAATTAGATTAAATATGATTGTTTAAATTAAATTTACTACTCGACAGAAGTTAAGTTCAGCTTCTCTTACTCTAAAAAAAATTCATGTTAAAAAATAAAAGACACAATATTATTTATTAAAAAAGAAAAGAAAAAAAAGGATAAACTTCATTGGTTGACCCCGCCCATTTCGTTCATCCCCACTTTTTCCGAAATAAAAGACCGTTATTTATTCTCAAGCACAACAAAATTTCGGATCCACACTCATTTCCCTCCTCTGCTTCTTCATCTCTTTCCTTTCACTCTAACTACCTTAATCAACCAACCAACAATTCTCTTACAACGTTCACACTTCACTCACTCTTTCCCTTTCTCATTTCCCAACCAAACAACTTAACCTTAATAATCATTTCCAACAATGTTACTACTCATTGTTGATGTTACATTACATTGTTACTTAATATGAATTCTCGGTTCAAAGGCGCCTCCGAGATGAACTGATAACACGTAAATAGTAATAATAATAATAATAAGAAGTAGAAGGGAGAATTTATCAAAAGTGTGATGGAGAGTTATTTAAATGAGAATTTTGGAGGTGTAAAGTCCAAGAACTCCGACGAAGAATCTCTTGGAAAATGGAGGAAACTTTGTGGCGTTGTAAAGAATCCCAAAAGGCGCTTTCGTTTCACTGCCAACATCTCCAAACGTTACGAAGCTGCTGCTATGCGCCGCACCAATCAGGTCACCGATATGTTTTGTATGTTTTGAATCATATCTAATGCATGTTTGAATCTGCGGTTAGAATGACAGAATCATAGTTGTTACATATTTGAATCCGCCAATCTCATCGTTAATCCAGACACGCATTATGTCAGATTTCTTGGTTTCCAAGTTTCATTAGAATGATAGGTTGTTGTATGGAATATGGATTCTCAATGGCATTTTATCCTTAATGCAGGAGAAGCTAAGGGTTGCTGTTTTGGTTTCGAAAGCCGCGTTTCAATTTATTCAAGGCAAGATTCATAAGAGTTATACTAAAATTATTACTAAAACAATCAATTTGTTTACTCTAATTGATTTTATGCCCTGCAGGTGTTCAACCAAGCGACTACGTTCTACCTGAGGATGTTAAGGCTGCAGGTTTCCAAATCTGTGCTGAAGAATTGGGATCTATTGTTGAAGGCCACGACGTAAAGAAGCTGAAGTTTCATGGTGGAGTTGATGGCATTGCAGAAAAGCTTTCGACGTCAACAACCCAAGGACTCGGTGGCGATTCTGAGTCGCGGAATAGAAGGCAAGAGCTATTCGGGATCAATAAATTTGCTGAAAGCGAAATGCGAAGCTTCTGGGTTTATGTTTATGAAGCCCTTCAAGACATGACCCTCATGATCCTTGGAGTGTGTGCTTTCGTGTCTTTGATAGTTGGCGTATTGACCGAAGGATGGCCGAAAGGAGCTCATGATGGTCTTGGAATAGTTGCAAGTATCTTACTTGTTGTCTTTGTGACAGCAACGAGTGATTATCGGCAATCGTTACAGTTTAAGGATTTAGATAAGGAGAAGAAGAAGATTTCTATTCAAGTTACGAGAAACGGTTATAGGCAGAAAATGTCGATATACAATTTACTTCCTGGTGATATTGTTCATCTTAACATTGGAGACCAAGTACCTGCAGATGGACTATTTGTTTCAGGATTTTCAGTGTTGATCGATGAATCAAGTTTAACCGGCGAGAGTGAGCCAATAATGGTTACTTCCCAAAATCCATTTCTTCTCTCAGGAACAAAAGTCCAAGATGGATCATGCACGATGTTGATTACCACTGTTGGGATGAGGACTCAATGGGGTAAATTGATGGCAACTCTTAGTGAAGGCGGAGACGATGAAACACCATTGCAGGTGAAACTTAATGGAGTAGCAACCATTATTGGAAAGATAGGACTAGTCTTTGCAGTGATTACCTTTACAGTTTTGGTTAAAGGACACTTGGGCCGCAAAATCCGCGAAGGAAGATTCTGGAGGTGGGCTGGTGATGATGCAATGGAGATGTTGGAATTCTTTGCTATTGCGGTTACTATTGTTGTCGTTGCCGTTCCAGAGGGTTTACCATTAGCTGTGACATTGAGTCTTGCATTTGCAATGAAGAAGATGATGAATGATAAAGCCTTGGTTAGGCATTTAGCAGCATGTGAAACTATGGGATCAGCCACAACTATATGCAGTGACAAAACCGGTACATTAACAACCAACCGAATGACGGTTGTGAAAACGTGCATTTGTATGAATAGCAATGATGTGAATAATCATGATTCTAGCCTTTCGTCTGAGCTACCGGACTCTTCTGCAAAACTGCTGCTACAATCGATATTTAATAACACCGGAGGAGAGGTTGTGTATAACAAAAAAGGCAAACGCGAGATATTGGGGACGCCCACCGAATCAGCAATATTGGAATTTGGTTTGTCACTAGGTGGTGATTCTAAGGCTGAGAGAAAAGCTTGCAAAATTATTAAAGTTGAGCCATTCAACTCTGAGAAGAAAAGAATGGGAGTAGTTGTGGAGCTACCTGATGGAAGTTTAAGAGCTCATTGCAAAGGTGCTTCTGAAATAATTCTAGCTGCTTGTGACAAAGTTATTGGTTCGAACGGCGAAGTTGTCGGGCTTGATGGAGAATCAAGTAATTATCTTAACAATATTATTAACCAGTTTGCTAATGAGGCACTTAGAACTCTTTGTCTTGCCTATATGGAATTGGAAAAAGGGTTTGCTGCCGATGATCCGATTCCTGCTTCTGGTTATACTTGTATTGGAATTGTTGGTATCAAAGATCCGGTTCGCCCTGGAGTTAAGGAGTCTGTCGCAGTGTGTCGTTCGGCTGGAATAGTAGTGAGAATGGTTACAGGAGACAATATTAATACTGCAAAGGCTATAGCCAGGGAATGCGGAATTTTAACAGATGATGGCATAGCTATTGAAGGTCCTGACTTCAGAGAGAAAACTCAAGAGGAGTTGTTTGAACTTATTCCTAAAATTCAGGTGCTTCATATTTTCTATATGCATAATAATATCTCTGATTGATACTGTTTCAGTTTCTGAATTCAGCTATGGTTGATTTGTTGAAGGTTATGGCTAGATCATCACCTTTAGACAAACATACATTGGTGAGACAGCTGCGTACAACATTCGGGGAAGTTGTAGCTGTAACTGGCGATGGAACAAATGATGCTCCAGCACTTCATGAAGCCGACATCGGACTTGCAATGGGAATTGCTGGAACTGAGGTGAGTGAAATGCAATGCAAAGCCTCATACAAATCATGTAGTTTTGTCCATAAGGCATTCTTAAAAACCATGAACTGTGGAACATTGAGTTGTGCTAATTTTATAATTTATATGCAGGTTGCTAAAGAAAGTGCCGATGTTATAATTCTTGATGATAATTTCTCCACGATAGTCACAGTGGCGAGATGGGGACGTTCCGTTTACATCAATATCCAGAAATTCGTACAGTTTCAGCTTACTGTAAATGTGGTTGCATTACTAGTGAACTTCTCATCCGCCTGCATGACAGGTTAGAAAATTAGTCTAACAAGATGGGGCAATGTGTTTATATAATTTAAAAAAGTTGACCTTTTCTTTATCTTATGTGTATTTGACCTTCAGGCAGTGCACCACTCACAGCAGTTCAACTTTTGTGGGTGAATATGATAATGGACACTTTAGGAGCACTTGCACTTGCAACTGAACCTCCAACCGACGATTTGATGAAGCGTGAACCGGTGGGAAGGAAAGGTGATTTCATCAGTAGCGTCATGTGGAGAAATATCTTAGGACAAGCATTGTATCAGTTTGTGGTAATATGGTTTCTTCAGGCAGTAGGAAAATGGATCTTTTTCCTCAGGGGCCCCAATGCTGATATAGTCTTAAACACACTCATTTTTAACACATTTGTCTTCTGTCAGGTAAAAAAACTTTCTGAATTCACATAACCAATTTACTACATATCATACTTTTACTATAACCGTAGTTGTTATCAGTAACATACAATACAAGCAAGTCGTATCTCGATTTATTTATAAATCATGTGTCTTACGATTCATAATCAGATTCGATTCCTGATTTTCCACAGGTTTTCAATGAGATAAACTCTCGTGAGATGGAGGAAATAGATGTTTTTAAGGGCATATGGGATAATCACGTGTTCGTGGCAGTCATCAGTGCAACTGTAGTCTTCCAAATCATAATAGTTGAGTACTTGGGAACCTTTGCAAATACAACACCTTTATCTCTGGTACAATGGATCTTTTGCTTAGGGGCTGGATATATGGGCTTGCCAATCGCAATTCGCTTAAAGCAGATACAAGTCTGAACCTTGAGATCATCCATGTATCGATTTTTGAAAAAGAAGCTTACGGTTAACTGTGGTTACAGTGCTTTAAAGTTCCATTCTATTCTTTGTACATTCAATGGCAGAAGCTTTCTTGGGTTGGAACAAGAAGTTGAGCAGGAAAGTAGAAATTATGATTAGTCAAATATATAAGTTACTATCAAATCATCACTTATACCAAATTATATTAAACATATATGCTTACTTTTCAAACTCAGTAGAATGGTAGACTGAGATAAGATAAGAAATTTTTGTTAATGTTGTCTTTTGTCATTGTTAGATTCAAAATGAGTTTGTACAAGTATGCTTCCAAGTTTGTAGCATTTTTCAACGTAACAATTTTATCTTTTCATGAATAGAAAATCAAATTTGTGTAATAAAATTGTCAAATTTTAATTTCATTATTCTATTATTATTTATATGCTAATCCAATATCAATTATGAATTGATTACCCAATTTAAAGTTATTTATACTCCTAAAATCAACACGAACATAAAGAAATGTTGCAGCAAAGCTGCTATTTATTGTTGAGTCAAAAAATACATATATAAAAAAACATTCTGTAATATTAAAATGTGTGGGACTCTAATCTAATAAGAATCTCTCTTAACTAGCATATGCCAATGTAAAAAATGTGTCAGAGCTTGTTCTCTTCCCCAGCATCCATATAAGTGTTTAATGTTCAATCTCTATCTTGTTATTGGGAACCTGTTTATACACCTAAGGACCTAATGATGGAAAAGGGGAAAATAAATTTGGGAAAACATTATTGTCATTGATTTGCTTTAAGAAACTATTGTCTCTTTCATATTCACAATACTAGGGTGATAAACTTTCCTCATCTGAACTTGTATCTTGTCTGGCACGGTACCTGTTCAGAACAGGTAGCGATGCACTTGCGGCTATTCTAAACGATCTGGATGAACTGGTTGCAGTTCTATCCTGCATCTTTCCCACTTCTTTGCAAACTTGATCCAAAATATTTAGGAAGTCTCTTACAATCGTAAAAATTCTGAAAGGGTGGGCTTCTTCCTTTGTGGTATCCCCATGAAAGTATTCTGTAACTTCTTTCACAAGGAATAAGGCCCTTATCTCATCAGCTTTGATCCTTAATATTTTCTCTTCAGCATCTTTCATAAATATCTCTGTAGAGTTAAAGAAGTTCCCTTGCATATCTGGTTTTACATATTGCAAAATCAATCTCACTTTATCAAGCCCCATTTCAAGCTTTATGACATAACTGCTTAAGACATCTGAGTCCATTCCTGCTGCCTTTTTTACATTACCAAAGTCTCTACTCAATCCAGCCACAACCTGTAATCCTTTCTTTTTGAACTCATCCTCGTTGAACTGGGAATTCGTTTGGTTTTGAACATTCTCATTTGCAGATTCATCGCCTGTACCTTCAGATCTAATAATTTCTTGAACAACAAAATGGAGCAATGTGGTCTTTCCATCAGTTCCTTTTATATCTGCAAGTTTCAGTAGTGTATCTAGTTTGAAAGATTTAGCATCACCGCGATTGGTTCCAACATTCATTCTGTTTCCTGTCCTGAGAACAGCTTCAAGGAGTTTGAGGAATAACCGGCTGTTCTTTAGTTCCTCACTTGCTGCCTGAGACATATTAACAGCTAGTTGATTAGTTTAATTATGAAGTGCATGTTTGGATTATCGGTGGGATTGTCAGGACCACAGCAAGTCATCAGGAATTTAGCAAAAGTTAAACTTTGGAGCTTCTACAAAATCAGTGTCACGTGACAAACTCACCGCCCATCCAAACATATACTGAAAGAAAATGTAGTTTAAAAGAAAGATAAAAGATAACAAGGAATTGATATAAAGCTGGCCGCACACACCTCCAGGGTTTGAAAGGATTTCTTAAGGTAGTTAACTTCTGCTTCAAAGTTAGCTCTGTATAGCATGGCTTCAACTCTTTTGAAAGCTAAAGGGACATCAAGCACTGCTTTAAGAAATCTTTCTGCAGGCCCAAGTTTTGAAAGATCACCGTCACAATGTTTTAGTTTTATTTCCTCCTCCTTCGTTGGAGCCATCTTCACTAGAGTTTCCAATAACTCAGCACCCAAACCTTCAGGATTCCCTGTGTCATTCCATAAAAGCAAAACCACAAACAAAGTTTGCAATAAATTAGTATATATCTATCTATATTATTTAAACTACAATCCAAGTTGGATGGCCAATTGTTGAGATAGAAAGGATAAAGGAACACTGACACAGAAGCAAGAGAAAGATAAAAAAAAATCACATGCTTAAGGAATAAAAGAAGGAATATATGAGGACTAAACTGTTAAAGGAAGTAGCAAAAATAGTAAAACGATCAGTCTTAACCATGTGCCAGTCATGAATCACAAAAAGCACTGCTTTTAGAGCAAGCTTGAACGTTAAAGCTAAAAAGGCAATAGAGTTCATTATGATGGCAAGGAAAGTATCAAGTTTAATAAAAATAACTGGAAAAAAGTAGAAGAAAAATAGAGATTGACAATAATTAATGAACATGACACGCTTTACGTTTGATCATTGTTCAATACTTCTAAACGATGTTAACTAATGAAAAAAATTGAAGTTTAAGATTGAAAAGAAATAAGGTTTGAAAAGAGTTATTAAATAGTGACACCTCTAATGTTTTATGAGCATCATTGGAATCTCAAAGAACCAAGTTTTTCATATATATCCCCTAAAACAGCCTAACGATAGACACAGGACGGTGTTGTTTGGCGGAATCACATAGTATAGTACCATTGTGGTTTTGATGAAAACTACACTTTCAAACTCAAAATATTCCCGGTACTCCGAACTCACCATCAATTTAACAAGAACTTAACCATTTTCATACTTGATATAAGATAAAACGCTTTGTTCTTAAGTAAGCTAAGCACTCATTTTCAACATGATTCATTATATATTTAAACTGCTAGCCTAGAGTTCTACAACAAAATAGAGCCCATATGACATTAAAGTCTAAAGTCTTGAGAAATATAATAATGAATGATGAAATAAACATACCATCTAAAAGAGCTTCAGAAACCTCATCTCTTGTGACATTCAATGCCCTGAGTAGTATAGCTATGTTTTGGGATTTCTTTGTATCTAACACCCTATTCTCTTGCACAACCGCGGCAAAAACTGGTTTCCTGTTAACAGACATTTCTTTAGGTTTAGGTGCAGAATTCAATGAATTAAAACCAAACAGAGTCTCCATCATGTCCTCGTTTAACCTGCATTACCATAAACAAATAATAATCTATTAATTAATTCACAATCCATAAACTAAGTAACCACCAAACCTAGAATTACAGTATAGTAGTAGTAGTATATAGTATATTAATTAATTAACTTACTGAAATGAGCTCGATTTTAATTGGTCCCATACAGTAGCACGATCTGAAGTAGCACGCACTTTATCCCAATGCAGAGGTTTCAACTTAGGTTTTCCTCCATCCATTTCAATTTCATCATCTTCCTTGGAAACTTTCTTGACACTCAAACTGTTACCAGATGCAGAATCCTCTCCATGACTTCGTGGCTGAGTCCATTGATACTTTCGTGAAGCAGAAGAAGGAGAAGCACTAACTATCGGCGACCGGAAATTTCTCGGCGGAGGAGGTGGTGGAGGTGGAGGAGGTAAACTAAGTGAATCTCTTAGGTCATTTGAATGAAGATGCGTCAAATTAGGCGCTGGTGGCGGCGATGAGAATTTTGGTCTTCTAGAAGGACCACCACCGCATAACGTCGCTTCTTTCTCAACTTGCTTAATGGAAGGTATCATCGCGTGTCTGATATCCGGCGAAGAACCAGATAATCGAGATTTCGGAGAAGTTCGCTTCGAAAAAGGAACCACCGGAGAAACCGAAACCGGCGCGGTAGGGCTTCCGTTAGCAAGAGAACTCTGACGCGAAACCGGCGCGGTAGGGCTTCCGTTTGCAAGAGAACTCTGACGCGAAACCGGCGCGATAGGGCTTCCGTTAGCAAGAGAACTCTGACGCGAAACCGGCGTGTAATAGCTATTTTCACGGCTGAGATTAAGAGAAGAAGACTCCTGCGGCGAATGAAACTCCGTCTCCGACGAAGACGACGAGGAAACCGCCGGTGGCGAGTGACTGTCCACAACGAGACACTTCGTGAGAGGCGGCAATGGATGCAACTCGGGACTCGGCCGGTAACGGTTAATCTTGTGAGGGTTAGCTACACCTACAGACGTTCCGTTAGGTTCCACAACAGTTCCAATGTAGAGGAAACTTGAAGGCTGTTGTGGAGCCATGGTGGAATCTTCTAGAACTCTTTGAGAATTCTCACCGACGAGTTTCATTTTATCTGATTCCGGTGAAGGTTTAGTTTTCTGCTTATACAAAAAGAAAGCGACTACAGAGAACATCACAAACAACGAAAATGCAACGGAAACCGCAATCGCAACTTTCTTAGCAGGCTCTTCAGGTTTCGTCGCCGTCGGATTTGCAATCGTACCGTTGTAGGATGAAGAAGGTACATTCTGGTTGTTTTCCACCGGAGGCGGTGGTGGCGTTAACTCATTAAAAAATGGAATGTCGGGGGAGGAGGGAGTTGTATCCGGAGGCGGAGGAGGTGATATCTCCGGCGGCGGAGCAGAACTCACCGGAAACGAAAACGGTTGGTGTAGGTTTCTTCTGTTAGGAAGTGGAGTTAATGCTGTAAGAGAAAATGATGATAATAAAATGATAAAAAAGAAGTTCAAATGATAATTATAATAAGTTGTGAAAATTTTCATGGTGGATTGTTTTTTCTCTACTCTTCTCTATCTGCATTTCATGGTTCTTTGTTTCCTTTTGTTCCTCACACTCCAAAAAGAGAGGGAGGAAATTTCCTGATTCCTTTACTGTTCTACACTGCACTCATAGATAACTTTTCTGACCACAAGCAACACGTTGGTTTATTTTATATTTTATTTTCATTAAAAATCAATGAGAAACACAACATCAATGAGTAAGTACTAGTAGAACGGATGGTTATGGATAGATAGTGACACCTCCTCTGCATCATTTTTTTAACTCAATGTAATAATGTATCCATAATTCATAAATTCACAACAAAAAAAATACATAATTGATAACTTTTTGTTAGAGAGAAATAATATTCCCTTTGGTTGGTAACGAGGGCAAGGCAAGGCACAAACAAACCCTATCTTGTGTGATGCCTTAAATGCCACTGGCCATTTTTCTACTTTATCCTTTCTTAGCTGAGTAGTTAATTAGAGTTTGTAGAATTATACAGTACTACTAGTAGAGGGAAGAAATAAACAAAGATCGTGTAGGAATTAGTTAGAGGCATGCCATATATGGCCATTGGCCAATTCAAAAACGGGCAAGAGAACATGCAAAATGTGTAGCCAATAAGTGTGAATTTCGTTTTATGTTTTGCATGTTTGTGACATATTAGTCAAGCGGACGGTGTGAGAATTGATGGCGATTCTTAATCACATGATTGCAACATATTACCTACTTATGGTATGGAAAAATGTAGGGGTTAAGAATTTGGAATTTTTTACTGCTATTCTTTTTCACAATAAATCTCAATATATCATGATCTTCACTCAATAATTTTAGTCTATTATTTTTTTAAATAAATTTTATTTTTATCACAAAACAACTGCCAAGTGAATGGGTGGAGTTGTTGCAAATTTTTACCATCCACAAAAATATTAGGCGGAAGCGTTGAAATTTATAGAGGGTCTGCTCATTCGATGGGCAGAAGAGTTCTAACGTTATATTAAAAAAAAAAGACTTATAAACAGCTCCGTCAGCCTAATGGTTGGTCTCCTTAAGTTTACCTCGGAATCTATTATGGTCTCTTATCTTAAAAAAATTCTAATAGTCCTTTAATTGTTCAAAAAGGTCCACGTTAGTCTTTTCCGTCCAATTTTCACAAACGGCGTTAATTTTTCCATGCTGACATCTGAAGTAGCGTCTATTTGTACGCGTGGCATGTGACTTGCCTTGACAACATTCCAACCCCTAGGCCAACACGTGCTTGCTTGCATGTCTTAAACAATTAAATAACTACAACACTTTAAAATTGATCATTCGTCAAACAATCCATAACATAATGTTTACTTTGTTATGGTAGTAACAGCTCAACATTTTATGACAGTAACAACTCAATATTTTGCAATATCTTTCTTTTTGTGAAACACGGGTAATTGTTTGAATTTCTTGACATGCTAAAATAGATATGCATAATGTTGAGTTGTTACTTGTTAACTTCTTAATCAAGTTTGCACTCTTGCATGTAAATGATCCACCTGTTAGAAATTCACAAGAGGCTTTTATGATGGAAATGTGTGCTGCTAGGATGGTAAGACCACATCTCTACTTAAGCTTCTCTGCCAGTATCACTCTTCTCTTTCCAATTAGTGGACGAGAGAGAAGGTGTATTCAAATCACTCTTCTCTTCACTATCGAACCAAACAGACCTCAAGGGTTGTTATTGAAATATTTTTATTTTGCTCAGTTTTTTAATGGTGAATGACATAGGTACAAGCCGTTGATTCTCTACTTAAATTAGTGTCGGAGCTGAAGCAGTCTACAATATTTTCAGGATTTGCATCTCTTAATGACCATGTAGAACAAAGAAAGGCTGAGTTTAACCAACTAGCAGAAAAAAATACCACACACTATCGATGATTAGAGAGGAAGCTGCAACTAGCCTTAAAGAACTTGAATCTCATTGCAACTAGCCTTAAGGAAGCTGAGCTGTTACTGCCATAACTTAAAGTAGATATTGAAAAATTCTACCCTTCCTCTTGACAATTGCTACCAATAGTGAACCTTTCTACAATTGAGGTTTTCGTTTTCAACCTGCAACTTCACATCTCACAGAACTTTTCATGAACTTTTGATACCATCTTATGAGATTAATCTACATTTTCAAATACTAAGGTCATACTTATGAGTATGTTATGGGTTGTTTGATGAATGACCAATTTTTAAAGTGTTGTAGTTATTTAATTGTTTAAGACATACAAGCAAACACGTGCTGGCCTAGTGGTTGAAATATTGTCAAGTAATATAACAAATCTGTGTTCAAATTTTTTCTTGAAATTTTGATGACCTTGAAGATGACTGTATGTCAAGTCACATGCCACGCGTACAAACAGACGCCACTTCAGATGCTAGCATGGAAAAATTAACGTCATTTGTAAAAATTGGACTAACGTGGACATTTTTGAACAATTAAATGATCACTTTAAAACTTTTTTAAGATAAGGGACCATAATGGACTCTGAGGTAAACTTAAGAGACTAAAAATAGTATTTTGCCTATTTTTTTATTTGAAAAGGTGATATATTGGAAATATAAGTTGAAATGTGTGATAATATGGGAATTTATTGATAAAAGAGTGGTATATTGATAAAAATTTCAAGAATTTGGATTTAATTATTCGAGAATAATGGAATTGCAATGAAGAAAAGGATGAGGTGTCATTTTATGTGCATTTATTATTTTATTATTCGTTGTATATAGATGGATAAAGAAAAGCTAAAATACCCTGAGTAGTAAAATAGAAAACTAGCTTAATAGATACTTAGTGCAAAAACTGAATTTTATAGATAATAGTGATATCTATGTTAAAATGGGATGGGTTACAATTTTACAATTCTGTGCAAAATTATAAACTTTCTGTTGATAATATTGGCTTATAACATCCCGATTATATGTCTAAAAAATATCTAATTATTGTACTCATTAGAACGATACAAGTGCTTAACGTTTACTTACACACAAAAAAAAGTGCTTAACATTTTAAATTTACAATTCGTTAATATTTTTGGGCCTTGTTTTATTAGCTCATTAGTTTGTTTTTTTTTATTCTGTTTAAATTGTTGGAGTCTTTTTCTCCAACAATATTTATTTTGGGAATTGAAAAAGAACCTTAACCAAAATAAAAAATATCCTTCTGTTTTGGAAAATATATTTTCTGACATATTTTTTGTATCACATGCCAACATGCAAAAATGAATTCACCCTACAGACAAACAAAATTTTATTTCGAAGATACATTTTCATTGAATAGTATCAAATGAATTGTTTGTTGCCCATTCCAATAAGTTATACGGAGACGTATCTCCGAACATTTAAAGTGGGAATTTGCTAATTTGTCACATTTGCATGTCAGATTATTTTGGAGATGCATCTCTAGAAAAATCAAATGTGTTATTGCTAAAAACAATCACCTGCGTGATCAGATCCTGTATCCATTTTTTCCATAAACCCTTTTCAAAAACCCTTCTATTCTCAATCAAGATTTTCACTCAAAAACTCCATTCTTGTGTTTCATCAAATCAAAAAGATCAAAAGAAGTTGGAATTCAAGGTAAAGTTCATTTAATTCAACCCTCATTGTTCATATTAATCATGTCTTGAAGCTGAAAAAAGTTATGTTGTCTTCGAAATGTATCTTTGAATTCTCTATGAACTCATCCGAAGATGCATTTCCGAAAACTGTCTATTCTGATTTTCCAACAACCTTTTTTCTATTTTAGATGTTTCTGAGTATTTTATGTTTTTCTTTTCATTAGATATGGTGCATCTTGATGTTTTCTCCAAACCTATTGTGTCTCTAGATGCTTCACTTGTAGTTGTGAAGGAGGTAGATATTTGCAACCATTTTAGAAATGAACAAGAAGTTTGAATTTCGTAATGACATGCTTCAATGAATTTTCATAGAGGCATCCAAATTGGGGGTTAGTTTTTTATTTGGAAGACCCGATAATGATTCAGATAGAAGAGGTGTATTTGTGACATTGACATGTAAAAGAAGTGGGAAATATAGACCTCATATCCGGAATTTCAAACGAGACAAAACTGGTTCAACAAAATGTGAATGTTCCTTTAAGTTGCATGGTTATCGGTTGGCAAATAACAAATGGAGATTTAATATGATATGTGGTTTACATAACCATGATTTGTGTGAAAAGTTAGTTGGTCATCCAATTACATGTCGCCTCATGCCGGAAGAGAGAGAATATGTTTCAAACATGACATTGAATTTGGTGCAACCGAAAAACATATTTGCAACCTTGAAGCGTAAAAGACCCGGGAATATCGCAAATATCTGGCAAGTGTACAATATCTGCTATCAAACTAACAAATAACTAAGGGGGATAGAAATGAAATGAAACACCTCTTAAAACTTTTACATGATAACATTTATGTTTCTAGGTACCGAACATGCGAGGATGGAGTAATCGTTAGAGATATATTTCGAAACTGTTAGATCCATGGTTTTATGATTGGCATAAATTTTGCTAAAATATGGTTCATAGATGATGTTGAACAAGATGTCATGACATCTTGACCAACTATTATGATAGGTTCTGTTGTCATGAATATCAGACAGATGTTGAGCCAAATGTCTTTACATCTTGGCCAACTGTACACAGGTGATGCTGTTACTTTCTTGATAGATTTAATTTGACTCTGTGAGATCCTCTTGGATATATATTACTTATTTTTGCAGGTCAAGAAGATTTTATTAGGAACAATGGATATTTGATTTGGTTTCATAAAAAGGATCTTGGAGACTTTTTAGGAAACTTTGAAGATTTGTTCCTATTTTTATGGAGAAGATCTTGCAGCTGATTTAGAATTAGAATATTGGATTTGATTGAAGAGTCCAAACTCATACTTTAAGAGTCTACATATAAGGACTTGCTAAACCTAAAAATTTCAAACATTCACATCAATAAAATCATGGGTGCATAAAATAAGAG